GCCAGCGATCCATCTCGCCTGACAGGTTCAATCTCCGTGTACCGGGCTTTTCACCGAGCGGGACCACAAAAACGGGGCGCGGAGCTGTGGCCTGGCCAGGCGAAGTGCACGGGGGAAATGGCCGACGGCGAAGGCCCCTCCACTTGTTCACAGTGGGCTCCGTGTTTGCCCGGGCGTGTGTACGTGTCTGTTTGCGCGCCAGTGTGTGTGTATGTCAATGTGCGTCTGTGTGTGTGTGTGTAGCCTCGTACTCGCCCCGGGGTCTCGACTCGGTTCACAGAGCCCATAAAACACGCACTTCCAGGGTAAATAATAAAACCCACAGCCACCCCTCCTTTATCTGAATAGCTTCTTGAAGCCTACCGTTTGGATGAGAGAGTGCGTGGGGGAAACTGGGTGGGTTAACAGGCTTTGAAGGCGGTTGGTTGGCAGACATTAATAAGGTAAACAAACAGGTCCTTGGAGGTTGGCACTCTCACGATTAACTAATTATCAGAATACAAACTTCTTTCTAATAGTTTTTGCTTCCTTTTCTTCTCAATCGAAATTGGTTCACTTTATAAGTCTTTGCTAGTAGAACGACTTGTTCGATGAGCTGTTGGTATCCGCTAGCTTACAATTATAGGGATTTGAACAATTTAACACAGTGCCCCTTTTTCCACTAAAAGGGCATGTGCATGTGCGAGTGTCTGAGTGAGTGTGCCATGGAGCGCGCACCCGTGTCTGTGTGTGTGTCCGCGCGCGCGCGCGCGTGTGTGTGAGTGAGTGAGAGAGAGAGCAAGCCAGTGAGAGAGAGAGAGAGAGAAAGAGAGAAAGAGAGAGAGAGAGAGAGAGAGAGAGAGAGAGAGAGAAAACTGGGAATTTTTTATATTAGACCTATCATCCTTATTTTTTCTAAGTCCTTTCCTTCCCCTCACCTTCACACAGACACACACCCACACACCTCTAAAACTATTTCATTCAGTATTTAATGACTAAAGTCATGAGATCTCCAGAGCTTTACTATACCAATTTGATACACCCGCATCTCCGACCACCCTCTTTTACCCCTACCCGCACAATGGAAAGACCACACCCACATAAGCTCTTATTCTTAATACCCTTTCCTAGAGTGTTGAAGCATCCTAAAGCATCTCTCAGTATAGCACTGTACTCGACCAGGTTCTAAACACCTTACAGACCACATATGCGTGCAAGCACCAAGGAATGCCTCGGGTCTTATTAATGTAAGGTCTTCTCGCGGGACTGCCTCCACCAAATGCCACATATTCGAGGATACCTCAAACAGACGGTAGTAACTCACACCAATGAAAGAAAACCATATACACTGCATTTCATCCACATAAATACTACCTACAATAACCCCCCCCCCCC